CTTTGTTAAACATTCTTTTAAAAATGAAAGTTTATTGATTTATTACACTTACACATTACGCTTTTATAATTATTAGTTGTAAAACGTCACCAGGCAATATTATCGTTTATCGCAATAAATTTTGAGACAATTAATCGCCCAGCAAAATTTGTTATCGTGACAGGCCTAGCTACAAACTCACAATGCTGCATCACAGACACTGTAGTGAAATCATGATTTTAACAAGTTTAAAGTACTTATTTTCAAATTCGTGTAAAAAAATAAAATAAAAATACTTAACATGACCCAGTTTAAAGAAATATAAGGGTTTGGGACATCTGTGATGAGGAAAAAACTCAAAAATCAGGGATTTACAGGTGCAATTCCTATGAAATGAGACATTTCTGTTTTCTCAAGTTATAATTAAATCTGAGTCGATTCTTGTTTTCAGGACTATTTAAAGAACTGATCCCAAGCCTGAACTTTTTTCAGTTCTTTTTCAAACCTGTTTTGACAAATATATAGCCTATATGCCATGGCCATTAATGACGTATTTCCGGTAAAATTCTTGCCATGCACATCCCTTCCACTTCCTGCTTACTGCCTTTGTTCTTTGTGAAAGCTCCTAGAACTAGTCCGTGAAACAGTCACAAAAGTTAAAGCATCTGTGAGCTACTGGTATAAAACATGAGTTCTGTTGTGTGCCGTTGTGTCCACCAACCAGCAGGTACGATCGAGTAGTTAGTTTTTATCCATTTTCCTCTTGATGAGGAGTAAAGGTGACAGCAATGGATCATAGCAATACAGGGAAAACTTAGCTATAAGCTCACGCTCGCGTTTGTAATCGACATTTCTAATCTGAGGATATTCAAGAGCCAGCATCAGAAATGAGAAGACGGAGGTTACAAAAGGGAAATGTACATTTATCCCCTTTTACTGCCAAGAAGACTTGGGGAGGAAAAACCACCTCCAGATGACAGCTAGGAGGAAGCTAACACAGCAGCCGGTACAAAGGTAGGTGTGCGTGTGTGTGCGTGTGTGTTATACAGAGTATGAAATATTTTTAGGCAACTTTGTCATGAGTTTTATGCTAAAGTAAGAACTTGTACATATTACAGCGTAGACAAAACTCTAACGATGAAAAAAAAAAAAAAAAGCCCCGCCCCCAACCAGTTTCTGATTGGCTACTAGGCATATCTAGTGCATTTAAAGTGAAAGATGTTAGGTTCAGATAAATGTTTATTAAATCTCTGAGCAAACCCGATTTTTTTTATAATCCCCTCCCCTGCTGGTACGCTATGCTGGAGAGAGAAATGTTGTTGGCACTCTCCAAAACAACACATGACTTGTAGACGTTGACTTGCTTTAATTAAAAAATAAATAAATAAAATCTCACCTGTCCCTGGAAGGCATCGATAATGAACTGCAGGGCCTGAGGCTGGACGCATTCAATGCACTTCTGCACCACGTGGTTCCCATTCTGGTCCTTCACACACTTTAGCACGTGACCATCCAACTCACGTACAATGTCACTCTGTGGTGGGAACAAACAATACCCAAGAAGATAAGCAAATATTACAGTGTTTAAATATTTGTGGTGATGAAAGCTGAAAGCAGAAATAGTTGAAAAAGTCAAAGCTCACTTACAATTACCTGCTGGTCTGAGGAGATGGACTCCAAGGCTTTCTGAATGACCCGACAGCCGTACATCTGCAGAGCCAGGGGGAGGACGTGCCCACGGATACGTGTTGCCAAGGCCAGCTTCTGGTCTGCACTCCCAAACTGAACGACATGAAGAGGTTACATGACACGAATGACAGGAAATCAAATTTAAAAATAAGAAGTAACTAAATAAGCAGCTCAAACCTCAAAGAACTTCTGGATGACATAATTCCCAAAAACATCAGTCATGAGTTGATACGCAGCCTGGAGAATCTCTCCGAACACCATCTGCCTCTCTGCTGGAGTGGCTCTCTCAAGCTTCTGCTGGATGAATCTAGTAAAAATAAATGAATGAATGTTATAACGATTATAAAAACAAAACTAAATTTCTGTTTGTCGCATCCGAAGCCGATCACCTGGATCCATGCTGGTCCTGAGAAAACTCCACCATGTGTCCCGGCAGGTCGCGGAGCTGCAGGTTGGGGAAACGGTTGTTCCTGAAGTCCTCCAGGAGGCGGCTGCGCCCGGAGGGCATGACGTCGGAGCGGCTGTAACGAGGCCGGGAGGGAGGGAACAGCTGGCTGCTGGAGTTGAACAGACTGGAGGTGCCGCCGGTGCTGCGGTATTTGGCCTCGGCTCCGGGAGCAGCAGAAATGTAACGCCCGCTGCCATTCGTCAGGCCACCTGAGGTCACACAACAACAACTCCGTTAATCCAAACGCAAATATTTGTATTTGAAAACAACGACTGTAGTCAAAATTAATAAAACTGTAGAGCAAAGTCACCTTTTATTTATTGCAGCTTTATTGTGAAAGGTACAATATTTGGACTCAGAAGTGTCTGTGGCCTGCATCTCACTCACAAAAAGTTGAAGAAACCATCTTCATATTTAAGAAACTTGGCATAACACAAATGGTTTTACCCATTTTGTCACATTTCTTCAGAATTTGGCTCAGCAAAAGTGAAACAGGAAGTGACATCAAAGGGGAATCCTTTAAGAAATGAAACCTTATAATAATATAATTTCAAGTCTGTCTTCTTCTCTTTGACGGTGACTCAAAATCATATAAAGAAACATCAGATTCTTCGCTACAGTCTGTTGTTTGCCTTGTATCATCGCTCTGTTTACATGCAGACATTCCCCTTTGACATCACTTCCTGTTATTTCACATGCAAATATCTCAATAACTGTTCATCACAGCAGTGTGAAATTCTTTTTGCAATATGTTAATGTTATCGCTCCAAAAATGCATTCATATTTATTGCAAAAAAATTGACGTCACAGGCTCTTTAAGGACCGATTAAAGCTTACCTAGGTGAAGACTGGAGGATGATCCGTGGGAGGAGGGCAGAGAAGGTGGAGGTGTGAGTGGGGAGTGGCCAGGTGTTAGGCCAATGGGACTGGGTGAGGAGGAGTAACCCAGGCTGTTGTAAAACGGCTGGCCAATGGGGGTCAAGCTGCTGCCGCCCCGTTTGTAGAGATCAGAACTGGCCAGCAGAGAGTCCCTGCGAGACACGCTGCTACTGGTGGAGTTGGAAACTGAAAGAACAACAAGGAAACAGTTAGAGACAACAGGATTCTGCCCAATCTAAAACAGGGTTTCCCCCAGAGTATTATGACCCCGGTGGGCTGCCAGGCTGTACTTTCCCCCCTCGGCCAAGTGTTTATTTATTTAGAACCTGAACAACGTTTGGAACAGACTGGTCTTTGAGAGAACTGGGACATTTCCCGGTGGTCTGGCCTGCTCAGCAAACAAGGGGCAGAACTAAAGCATCAGGTTATCAGGTGCTACTTCTAGTGGAGGGAAACAGGGTTTCTGCAGAAATTTAATGCCATTAAAAAAAACTGCTCCTGACATTTTCATGTTTTCCTCCAGCTGAGCAGAAACATACCAGAATGGTTCTGCATGTTGCAATAATTACGGCAATAATCCACAGCTAAAATCCCCTGATGGAGTCATCTCATTTTGTTTGTTAACAACTAATACTGACATTCAAATTTAATGCTTTTTATTGCCATATAAGGGCTTTAATTTTTTGCTAAACCCATTTAATGATTTTATGCTTTGTGGAAACCCTGGAAAGGATGAAAAAATGTAAAATACTAGTAGGAGACAGTTGCCAAACGGGGAGTACGATTGAAAGCAACTGAATAAATAATAAGATAATAAAATGATTTTTTTATTCTTTCTGCTCCCTTTTATTTCATTTGATTTTTGTTTTTACTGTAAACAGATTTTATTGAATGAACAATAATTAAACAACAACACTGAAATAAAAAGGAGTAACTTGTCGTTTAGCCGCTGACCTGAGGAGCCAAAGCCTCCAAGAGCAGAACCCAGACCCATGCCCAGAGAGCCGGCCGTGCTGCTGAAGCCCAGGGAGGAGCTGTGGGGAGGCGCAGCAGAGTTGTGGGAGAAAAGGGAGCTACTCTGAGAGGTGTTGGGGACCGATCCGGACCCGTAGAAAGAGCTGGAGGGCAGACCGCTGCTGGGTGGGGGAGGCTGCTGCTGCTGCTGTGGCTGAGGCTGAGGCATGGAGCGGTACAAGCCATTGGCTGGAGGTCCGGACATGCTGTTACCAGAACCGGATGCAGACACTGCAGCTGATGGATGAAGAGTGATAGAGGATTATAATGTTTTTATATAATATCCACATTATTATCGGTAACGGAGCTGGATCAGTTCTCACCAGCTTGTGCTGCAGCAGGGTTGATGAGGAGAGGCGTCTGGACCAGACGAACAGGCCCACCCAGACCGGTTCGGGCACCGGGGCCCATCACTAAAGCTCCAGTTTGGTCATAATACGCAGCAGGGGCCAATACCTGATAACCTGAGGAGATTAAAAACAGAAAACATGTTTTCTGCATGTAGGATAACCGTCTCAACTCCAAACACAAACATGACAGAGGGAAGCTTTTGTGACTTCTTCTACCGACCAGGCATTCCTGCATAAGCCAGTGCAGGGTTCGCAGCAGCTGCTGCAGCTAAAGACTCCTGCTGACTCTGCTGTCCTTGGCCTGGGGTCAGAGGTCGCTGGTTGGTTCCTGTTCGCATCACCTGGAAAGAAGAAGAGAAGATGCTTTCACACAGACAGAAAAATAACACATCATTTAATTATCTTGTCTAATTATGTTTATTTAGCACAAATGTAGTTAAAGTAGGCAGGTAAAGTTAATATGCTAAGATAAACAGGCGACATAAACAATAGTTTTGAGTGAAATTATAAACAGGATTCCATTAAATGTTTGGTCTGGTTCCCAGTGGAGAACCTGGGGTTGTTGCTTGGTGCTCATATGTTACTTCACTCATTTAACACATTGATCTAGATGGGTGTCAGGGCATTTAATATTACCCTGTTCTGTTTCATGACGCCTTCTATCAGCTGGCAACGTCTCAGGACATCATGCCAAATTAGAGTTTTTAATTTTTTTTTATTTTGTTTTTTTACTCTGCATAAATTTTGTAAACTACCTAAACTACCTCCAGACCAAACAGCAAATATCTGTCTTTTACACAGAACAAATGTTTTATTTGTTAGACTGATTTCTTTTTAAAAGACTATTTTATTAAAAAAAGATTATATTTAGATGGTTTCAGCTCATGTAATCATTTAAAATTATTTATCCTTTGTATTTTATCATTTACTTAATTACAATCATCCCAGAGCAGCTGTGATACAATATGATTCTAAATATTTATTTATTTATTTTAATTATTATTATTTATATTTTTTAAATATAAACATGTTTAGCACATCAAGAACTTTGTTGTTATCATAAAATTGTGAAGAATGAAATTTGTGGATCTTTCTGATTAATTAAAATAACATTTAAAACTCATTCACAGAATATGGCAAGTTTTTATTTTTATTTTTTTTTGGAATGGGAGGTGACGTTAAACAGAATCATTTTTGCTTTGATATGGGGCAAACAAATGTTCTTCTGTTAGAGGGATGGTTTAGAAGAGCTTGCGCTGAGGCGCGTTCCCGTCTCTCAGGAGGAGAGTTTAGTTACTGACACAAAGTTGGACAGATCTGTTTGATAACAATGCTCTGAACATATATTTAATATAAAGTTAGGTTTTAGAGACCAAAGTCTCTGGTAGTTCAGGAGCAAAGTGCAGGAGGAGATGTCAGGACTAACCGCTGCAGCCGCTGCTGAAAACTGCTCTTACTGAAAGTCCCGCCCTGCTCTGCTCTGATTGGTTAAAACGGCTCTGGAGTTTGTCTGATTTGTTGAAAGTAGTGTCCATTTAATTCTTATACATCAGGGCCCCGCTGCCCTCCTCTGACAGAACGACGATCCAGTCACACCAGTGAGGCTGGATTTGTTTGTTTTGAAGAAATCAGGTCGCATTTGTGACCCTGCTAGCTGTTGTTTTCACAATCTCAGGTACAATCTTAGGTACGCAAGAGAGCTTTATGACATTCCATCTGGTGTGCTTTTTCTCTTTTGATCGCGCATGCGCACCTGCGCACCACTTATGTGCAACTCTGATTATAAACTTTTATGAAGTTTAAGAGCCATCAAGTAGAAAAAGTGGTATTTATTCAAATCATTAAGAAAATAAATTCTAGTGCGCACAACTCAAATTTCCTTACAAAAAAGCGAAGAGCAAATGGGTGCCCGGTTCTGAAGAATCAGAAAGATGAGATAACCAGCACTCCAAAAAATACCATGTTTTTAATAAGGACGGAAAACATGGTATTTTCTGCCTTTATTAAAAACATGGTATTTTTTGGAGTGCTGATTATCCCATTTTTATTTATTCAAATCCTTTCATTTTTCTCAGCCCAGAAAATAAACCAGCAAATAACTTTCATGAACAACAACTTTGTATTTTTAAACAATTGTCTTAGTCAATATTCTTCTGCTAACACACTAGCAGCGATGGACTTTGTAACAAATGCTTACATGATCCAAGGAGGACCTAAAGCAGAAAAAAAAAAAAAAAAACCTTCGATATTTGAGATTGCTAAAAATTAACACATGAAACGACTTTCAGAAAAAGACTAAGGAACAGAAAGCCTCACACTTGAGTTGACAAACAACAGATTCTCACTCCAAGTTTAACAGAAACTTTGCATTATCAGAAAGCAGCATCATGTGTGTAAAATATAAAAATCTTATTCATCCCACATCCCAATAACGTGCCGTAAACAACAAACAAAACTAATGTTAAAAAAAACAAAGAGGTTTGCAGGATAGAAAGTTTCCTCCTACCTGTGGTTGACCTGGTCCTGGTCCCTGATTGGATGCTTGCTGATTAGCCGAATGATTGGCAGTTGATGCTTGTTGCTGGAAAAGATTGGCTGGATACACACCCCACGGAACTCCGTAGTATTGTGGCGGAACAACTGTGGGGCCTTGAGACAGATTATATACATTAAAAAAAACTATTATAATAAAAGGAGGCATCGGGCATTAAAATTGAAAAAAAAAAAAAAGAAAGCTTTAATTGAAAAGAGAGGTGCTAAATGATCACCTGCGAGTGTGGCTGCTGCTAGCCCAGCGGCAGTGTAGGGGTCAGTTCCGGGGGGGCCAGCGTTAATGATGTAAGGGTTTGGCACGAATGCAGGAGCGAGTCCGGCTGCACAACAAGGAGCAGGAATACAAATAATGATTCAAATCTTATTCAAAAGGCCGTGCAGGGACATTTCACAATAAAGGCGGATGATTCTGATGTGAAACAACTCGAGCGGCCCAGCTTACCGAGATGCTGCTGCTGAGATGCAGCCAGAGCATACTGCTGCTGAGCTGCTGTAAGCTGCTGAACAGTCAGGGGATTAGATCTCTGGAACAGCTGGAATAATAATAATAAAAAAAAAACAAGTAAATAATAAAAATCACAATCAGTTGAGCACACCGACAGATCTTACAAATATATTTCATGTTTCAGCTGACCTGCTGTTGCTGGGAACTGTAGTCAAACAATCCTACAGGAGTTCCCGAGGAGTCCACTTGGATCTGGTTCCCGGCGTAGTCAAACTGTAAGGACTCCACGCCGGTCGGCTGCTCCATACCGCCCATGTTGTGGGCCTCGTGGCTCTGGAAGTCCTCGGTTGGGACCTTGTTTTGGACAGGATTCTGTTGTTGGAGGACGTGAGGGTGGTGCTGCCCCATCATCTCCAAACCCGTCTGACTGGGACCCATCCTCTCCACCGCCTCGGTGGGGGAAGCTTGACGGCTCCCAGGAGTCGGGCTGCAAAGACAGAATAAAAAAAATAAAATAAAATAATAATAATAATAAAAAAGGGAAAGCACTTGTGTTACGTTGCATTTAAACAAACCTTTCCCTCAGTAAATAAAAAACACACTGATTCTTTAAACTGAAAAACTCCACCTTCAAAACTGCTATTTGAAATCAAGAAATATTTATAAATGCACATTTTGCTTCTTTAAACAAAATTACAACTAGCAATGGTCCTGTGAGTTATCTGGGTGTGACACTTGTTTTAAAAAGACATTGCCAACAGAGTTGATTAGATTAGTCATAATCAGTCTTAAAATGTTTCAACAGACTTGAGTTCTAAAGCAATGTTTCTAAATTTTATACATTTTGTCTGTGTCTCCGAATGAAAACAATAACCTTGTTTAGATTTTCTGCCTTTGGTTGTGGTTGTATTCAGGAAAAAGCAACTTAAGATAAAAGTGTGATAAAGAAAACAATTTTTAAAACAGAAAATCAAATAACACCTTCAGGTTTATTTGTTCAGCATTAAATCCAACAAAAAACAGAAGCCTTACTTGAAATCTTTGCAGTCTCTATCCATGCCGTTTAGCAGCCCTCTTCCGTTGGCCTTGGTAGGATCACCGTCCTCTCCAACCTTCATCTCAGGGTTTTTGTCTTCTTCAAAAGGTGACACCTTCTCTTGCGCATCAGGTTTTTCTCTCCCATCTTGGTCAGCATCTCCTCCACCCTGAACACACCAGACCTCACAATAAATAAGTCAAACCCTGGCGTTTGTCGCTACAAAGCAAAGAGCCAGTGACGACGTACAAAGCCTCCGTTCCTGTAGCGCACGTCCATTTTGTCGCCAGGAGAGGAGCTCAGGACGTATTCCACCATGCTCACCCCGAGGCCTCCGCCTTCGGAGCGGGGTGAAAGCACCGAGTTAGCGTCACCGTTTCCGTGGAAGCTCTGGCCTGGTCGCCGCTGCACCATGATGGGCTGAGACATCGAATGATCTGAATAATAAAACAAGGTTAAAATCAAACAGCGGCTGTAAGAATCTGCCTTTTTCCGTTTGTCATAAAATGTGTTCTGACTAATAAAATGAGTCACTAAAGTTAAAGTTCTAGTGAAAAGAAAAAGAGGTGAATCATCTGTGACATTAACAATAAAATCCATCAACGTTTTAAACCTTCTGTATTACATTTACTGCAGTTTTTACACTCACTGTCCAACAGCAACCCTGACTTAACGGTGTTAAATTATTCTTACATATCATATAAATATTAGGATCTAAAAAGATCCACGTTCTTACAAATAGTTCCAATAATTTGCAAAACATTTGATCTTGAGTGTCAGGGGATTTTTTGACGTTTTAGACAAGAAGCAGTGACTCCCTCGCTCATTGATGCTTAATGCAGTTTGATATTTAATATCATGCTGCCTGATTTGCACATAAAATAAAAAGAAAAACACATTAAAAGATAGAGGAGCCACTCACGAGATGGTCCCCACGCATTGTCCCGCCACTCCTCTCCGAGAAGCATCCCTTTCCTTCCATCTTTGGGCAACTCATCAGAATCCCAGATCTTTTTCGCTGGTAAAAGCTAAAAGTCACAAATTTCTCCAATCATTCTAAATGATAATAATTAATATTTTTTGAGAAAATGCACAAAACATTAAATAAAATAAAAATACACACAAGGATTAAAATGCCTTACCTCTCCCATCCCTCTGGACTCTAAAGCAAGAGCTTGAAAGTCATAATTCATTTCATCTACAACTCGAACCTAAGATAGAAACAAATGATGCTGTTTGAAACAGTTTTATAAATCATCAAAACCAACAATCCCATTTAATATCTGCTAGATACCAGTGATTCATTATGTAACATGTGACCCATCACATCGAAATGAGGATTAAGTCCAAAAGTGGAGAAATAGGCAGATGTAGGGTTTTGATTTAAACGTGCAAAAATTGCATTTTGTCAAAATATAATTTAATGCCTTATCAATGTATCAATTGAATGAACTGTCTGAAACATAATCCTAAAAAACATTTTTGAAGCATTTTTGAGCAGTAGTAACAAAAAAAAACTGATTATGAGGAAAAGCAATTTAAAATTTTGAACTTTTTCCTGTGAGCTCGCAATGTTTTTGTTTCTTACCAACTGGGAAATCTTAACATACAAATACTGTTTGAGGTTTCCTCTTTATATTGACATAAAAATACTCAATAAATTTACATAAAATTAGGATTCAGACCAAACAACGTATTATTGTAACCAACAAGACAAATTACGTCATATCTCTGGATAAACTTATGATATTGGTATGATCCAGGTATCAAAATGTAGCTTTTAAAGCAGGAATCTAAAAATGTAATTAGGTCATTTTGACCAAATTTGACTTAATCCTCATTTTAATATGATGGGTCACATATTTGCTTATTAATAACATGTCAGAATGATTTTCAAACAGGTTGTCTTGACTGTGGAAGAATGGAATTCATAAAGATGTCTGAAAATATTTTAATGACCTTTGAGCGTTTGTCGTATGGAGGCAAATCAAAACCATACATCTACAAATTCCTAAAACGTGTAAGGAGGGACGTTGCTTCAGTACTTGGAAACCTACCTGGTTGTTTTCAAGTAAATAGTTTATTCAGAAACAAAACAAAAAAATAATTAAATATTTTTCTGGGACCATATTAGGCCCTTATCTTAATGCTACACGCTCCAGTCTTTAAATAAAACTATCAGCGTGGGGGCTTTTGTGGAGAATTTATAGGCACAAAGGTTTGATGAGGTGGGTTTGTTGCAACTGAAACACAAAAGGAGATCAAATGATAACCAGGAAGTTCAGTCTGAAATAAAAAGCACATGTCGGAGGAGTTATCTGATGCCAAAGGACAAGAAACCAGCTTATAGTTACTGTCAGACAGGATATTACACCTCTTTCAGTTATTGTGTTGAGTCCCTCACTGTGCTGTTCTGACCAAAAACATCCAACTTCAGTGTGAGCAAGGAGCATAACCTATTTTTATTCAAATCCACTGATCCTTTGATGCACAGAGATTTTAATTATTAATGACCAAGAAATGTGTTGCTGCAGTCAAGAATGAGTATTTAAAGAGAAAATCATTGCAGTAGGCCATGTTCTAATAAAGGCTGCTTTACCTGATCAATGTGATTAGCATCTCCAGTCGGCCAGCGGTGTTTACCGGGTACACAACCAACGAGCTGCTCTCCGGGCTGCCGCTGAAAGAAGTATCCGACCGTGGCGTCGTCCTGAGATCTCCCACTCAGCGGAGGCTGCGGCGTGCCCGGGGCAGGGTTAGAGCTTCTGTCCATGCCCTGTAAGTGTGGTCCTCCAGGAGCTGGCCCAGTCACCCCAACTGTGGCGAGGGGTCCGCCAGCATGGACCCGGACACCCCCGGACTCGGGAGCGCCGTTTGCATGCAGCATCCCACCTCTCGTCTCCTGCCAGGCCACGTCATTCATACCTAGGATGCTGCATGGAATGCTCATTCCACGGGAAAGCCTAAAACAAAACATCAAACGACAGGAAAAAATTATATATATATTTTTAATTTGTGCTTCCTCTTTCTGCCCAGGCTTAATAGAACTTGTTTTCTTGAGGTAATTCTCTAAATATGCATCAATAATAAACTCCTGTATAAAGTTAGAAAGGTGCCAATGATTATACTTTATTTGTTTAAATTAATGCATATTATTAGATAATATAGCATTTACAGTAATTAAAAATACTACAAAATTGTGATATGCATTTGTCTTATATAGTCTATTTCACAAGCAACCTTCACAATCAAAGTGCCATTTCTCCCTTGTTTACATTAAATATATATATAAATTATTAAGCTACAAAGCCTTCTTGATGACTGTAATAAGATAAAAAAATAGCAAATCATTATTACATTTTAATACATACTACATATTACGAGAATTAAAATACAGTTCACATTTGGATAAAACAAATTAACAAAGAAGAAGAAAAACTTTTTGTGTATCCTCTTTGATAAAGTTTAACCACTGAATTATGGAGGCAAATAATCAAGCATGTATTTGCATTCCAGTAAAATATTTGAGAACATAAAAAACTCTGTCAAATTATTATTTATGGCCACTGAATACTCTCTTACAGCAACTGATGCCTCTTTATTTACTTAAACCCCCTCATAAACTGTTTTTATAATTAAAGACAAGCCTTTACTTCTAATTTTATTCGAAACTGCACTTGTTTATTTTGTTATAAATGTATTTATAAGAGGAGATTATCCGTGTCCTGCCATATGTTTTATCTAAACAAGTAAAAATCTCTTCTGTGAGGCCTCAGACAACTCAAATGTTAAAGTCGGTTTCATTGAGATCTACTCAAAAATGAGCTTATTCTACTCGTCTTCGACTAATCTTCCCCGATCTGCTAACTCAAAAAAACATTCAGCTGCTCGTATTTTAGTCTAATCGATTCACTTTCTTTGCATTAAGATAACGACTTTATGTGGAAAACTTAATATATATATTTTCTGGCATATAAACGATAACAAGCTGGTAACGATCGAGAGCCCACACACACACACACACAGTGTTAGCAGCATGCTAGCTTGTAATCGCCAAACTAGCATTACGTTACTGCTAATACTTCGTTTCCAGTGGTTAAAAAATCCCAGTAAAACAGAGAAAAATCTACATTAACCATACATTCGAGAGCATGACGGAAATAAATGCAACAAAATACAGCATTTAGTGGAGCAAAAGATCAAAGTAGTAAATAAAGGTACTGCTAGCAAACTGGCTAGCCAATACCCTTGCTAAAATTCGAGCTAATAATTTAGCCGCTTTGACCTGTTTTTTTCTACTTATATTTAATAATAAATCAGTGGTCATAAGACTGAGGATATTAGACATCGGTTTCACGTTTGCTTTCAATTTCTACAGACTAAAGCATCAGTTTGGAACAGGAACTAATTTACAAAGGAGAGTGTGCATTGGCAAATTTCACGACTAACAAGCTAACGCTAATGTAATGGCAACGGGCCTGATGTTTTTATTGGTGGTGTTTCGTAGGACATCAAAGTAAATTCTGTTCTAAAAGCCATATCAAATTGTAAGCTAAATTACTTCCATGGCTGATGCAAAAAAATGGGGATTTCTTGACGCGATATTACCACGGGTAGGTGTATGTAGATGTATAACCACGGATTTTTCCGTGTACGGGAAAGCCAAAATAAACCATGACAGCTAACGTTTGGAGCTAATTGCCAACTTGGTGCTGTCTGAGCTTAAAACATCAGCCAAACAGTCAGCGGCTAAACAACATGGCCCCCCTCAAGTCCCAAACAAGAGGGGCCTTAACCGCTAAACAAAAGGGAAATACCCACAGCACGACAACCGCCTTTAAAGCAGTCGCTTTACTTTGCTGTTTTTTTATTATTGTGAACAAATACAAGAAAATACTCACGCCTTATCGTGTCGATGGAGGCTCTGTGCTTGTTGCACGCCGTCAACCCTATTCTATATTGTTTTGTTACCTTGGAGAGCGGTGATTTAGCAATGCTTGCTCAGTGCTATGAGTTTGCTCAGGCTGGTGCCCCCTCCCTGTAAGAAGCGTGAATTACGTACGCATTAAAGTATGGTAAGTCAATTTATCATATAATAGACATTCAAAGCAGATGGCCATACTTCTGTTTTTCCTAGTCAAAATTAACAGTAAATTAATTATTATAGATACGCAACACGCTTTCAGATCTAGATATCAAGTATATTTCTGTTTAAAATGGACGTTATGACTCTATTATAAAATACTTTTTACAGAAGTGTTTTTTTTTAATGCTCTTAAGCCTTAGATGAAATTTCACTGTTGGCCATAGATTTTAAGGTCAATGGTGAAATTTTCTTTACATCTAGCATAATTTTGATTTGTTGTTAAACATGTTATTGTGATAGCATTCCATGATATTCTATATTCTATATTCTTGGATTAAGTAGGGGTGTAAGAAAATATCGATACACTGAAATATTGCGATATTTCATTTCCCGATACTGTATCGATATTCTAAAGCCCTGCATTGATATTTAATTAAGGTTTAAAATGTAAACTTTCCTGCCAGCCGTTCATTTTTATGTTGTAGTTCAGCCTCTGACCATTAGTTGGCAGCAGTGAGCCAGCCATTTGTCTCCTCTACCTCTTGAGCGCCAGAGAGCAAGGGTAGCATTAGCATTGTGAGTAAACATTAGCTTCATGCTCCGATAGCTGAATCTGAGCGGAAAAGRCHGACACCCTCTGCCTTCTAAGCTGAGGTAAGGTTACAAACAGTTACTTGTCAGAATGTCTCTATTTTAAACCAAATTAAGTGTTTCGTGCGCTCTTTTTTTCCAACTTTAGTCAGCTTTCACGTTACAGAAGGCTAGCGCATGTCTATATAATAAAATTTTCTGAGACAATGAATTTTGATTTTTCATTTTTTTTTTCCAGTAAGAGGTTTTTATTTAATAGTATTTTTGGACCAAAAAAATCGCAATATATCACCTTGCTTACAGTATCGCAATATATCGGGATATATCGTATCGTGAACCCGTCTGTCATGATATGTATCGTATCGCCAAATTCTTGCCAATACACAGCTCTACTATTAACTCGGTCACACTGCATCATCTTTCCATTCATCCAATTTGAGAACTTGAAGAATTTCCTCAATTTAGACCAGTTTGCCCCAAGGCTGGACCAGTTGAGAACCGCTGGTGTAGATTAGGGATGCACTGATTGCAGTTTCCTGGGCGATCCTGCTGATTCAGATTTTGGCTGATACTGATTTTTAAATAACTGACCGTCAGGTGTTATAAGGTCACGATACACCTTCAATGTTCCAATTTTATTGAAAAGCAACGACCCTTGACTTAGTACAAACTTGTTTTCACTCGACATTAGGCGGTGCTCACAGCAGAACATTTTTTGAACATTTTCTTTAACACTTTGCGCTTTTTAAGTCTGACATATAACTCCGCCCCTTTGTAGCAGAAAATAGTTCAGCTGAAATCTTTGGCATGAAATGCGGCAGGCGTTATACATTTCATCAACTAATTTTAATTGACATCTAAAACGATAGAAATTTATTAGACACAACCAGTTATGGTGGTTTGAATATATGGAACAACGGCCTGCCATTCTTTTCAACCATTACATTTGCATATCACTTCAGAAACTGTCCTTAGTCTTGATTTTATTTGTTCGGGTCAATTTTTTTTGGATAATTTCGAAAACAAAATGATGCAGAACTAAATCCGAATGTTGTATTTAAAAACTTTTAAATAAATAAATAATAAAATAAAACAACTCGTGATTCATCATCATGCGGTGAGGTTTTGGGTTGATTACAGCTAAATTCTGACTCGGGTGAGCCCCCGCCTCTTCGGAGGTCTGATCCAATCACCTGTCCGTGCGTAACCCGTGACCTCACCTCCTTACTTCCGATTGGACGCTATATTTAGGAACCCTCCCTGCGCTTTATAAGAGAAGAAGAAGAAGAAAGCTGAAAACTTCCTGCTCGGACGGGTCTGACCGGCCGGTTATAAAAAATAAACTATATGTGGTTCTGATGCTTTAGAAGACAACAGAATGGCAGAAATAAGGAAGAAGCTCGTGGTCGTCGGGGACGGCGCGTGCGGAAAAACATGTCTCCTGTTCGTCTTCAGCAGAGACGAGTTTCCCGACGTCTACGTCCCGACCGTGTTCGAGACGTACGTGGCGGACATCGAGGTGGACGACAAGCAAGTCCAGCTGGCTCTGTGGGACACGGCCGGACAGGAGGACTTCGACCGCCTGCGCCCGCTCTCCTACCCGGACACCGACGTGGTCCTCATGTGCTTCTCCGTGGACAGCCCGGACTCGCTGGCCAACATCACCGAGAAGTGGGTCCCGGAGGTCGAGCACTTCTGCCCGAACGTGCCGATCGTCGTGGTGGCCAACAAGAAGGACCTGCGCGGCGACGAGGCCGTCCGCGCCGACCTGGCCCGGATGAAGCTGGAGCCGGTGCGGGCGGAGGAGGGCCGCGCCGTTGCCGCGCGCGTCGGCGCCTGCGACTACGTGGAGTGCTCCGCCAAAACCAAGGAGGGGATCTGGGAGGTGTTCGAGACGGCGACCCGCGCCGCCCTGCAGAAGCCGACCCGGGACGGGTGCCTCAGCTGCTGCACGCTGATGTAGAGAGGGGGTCTGTGTCTGGACACGTCCGGACCTTGATGATGATGAAGATGATGATGATGATGGCTGCACCTGGGACACTCCCTGCTGCCCTGGGCTGAACCAGAACTATTAACTGCAAACAGAATGTTCTGAACACACTCTGACATTGATTTTGCAATGTGCGTGTGTGTGTGTGTGTGTGTTCACGTGATCCCAAATTAACTGAAAGGGAAAATCAACACACTGTTTTGTTACAAATAGACTTTTTTATCCTCCTTTCATGAGGACTTTATTTTGAAGCCCACTGCCTTCTATCAAACTTTTATATTTTATAACAAGAAGCACATTTGCACTCTTAATTTATGTTCAAAATGTGTAAAAACACGATTGTATAAATGCACAACAGCAACACGAAGAAACCAGCGGTGTCCTTTTTAGTTTTTATCACCCACTTCTGAGGTTGAAGACAGATGGGTTTTTTTTTGTTTTTTTTTGCCAATGTGTGCCTGTTAGCAAAATATCTTGTCAACCACTGGGCGGATTAAAGATGGCCGCCACAGCCTACTGGCCTTAAACACAAAAATAGTTATAAATCAGTAAATTTTGCAGAAGCTGATGTCAAAGTTGGTGTGGCGGCAGCTCTGAGGGCTAATTAATAATAGTCAACTCTGTTAGCATAATATCTCATGAACCATTGGATGGATTTGAATGAACCGTTCAGAATGTAAACACTAGATGTGTATTGAGTTTTTGCTCAGATCTAATTAGCTGCAGCCAAGTGAAACCTCAAAGTAGCCGTAATCTTAACAGATAATGAGCTAAAATTTGGTGCTGTAGTCGATGTTGCGTGAGACGGCACGTTTGGGCAACAACTTTGTCGTTTCAACACTCGAGTTTTAATTTAAAGCTCTGGTATGAAAGACGGCAGGCGAGATGTGCAACGAGTGAAGCATTTGTGCCGCAACAAAATCTTTTCATGAAGCGTACAGTGTTGGAATGTGTTCATGTTTTCGACAACCAAAGAAATGGACCAAGCTGGTACCTTTCAGTTCACCCAGACCAAATGAACCATCTGGACTGAGCTCTTTTACAGACTGTTCTTTTTTATTTTTCTTAAAAGACCCACTTGATGTTCTGTTTACAGACAGCTTTCTTTTCTCGTAAGAGGTTAAGACATGACTCGGCTTGTTGAGAGTGCGTTTAGGTTTTAGTGTCATAAAACTTGGTTTTAAGCCACACACTCATTTAAACCAGTTGGTGTTGTTACACAGCAGTTCAACTGTTTTGTAGCAAATAATATATTTTATTTTTACCAAAAAAGTGTTAAATCTGAGCATGAATGCTGCAATGAATCAAAGAATAAAGGTTCATTGAGAAATTCTCTTAAATCGACTCACTGCAAAGTATGAAATCAAACATACAAAGAGGTTTCCAAATCGATTGAATGCAATTCTGAAATGCGGGTACGCACTCAGTGTAAACAAAGTCTTTGTGGCTTTGCAGTGAGCAGCTTTAAAATGATCCCCAATGTCTTCCACTTTGACAGTGAATGTACTTTTAATTTACTTTATATTTAAGTTGTTTTGGTTCTTGCAGACAAAAGACATTTTTTTAAAAGTATATTTTCTGCTGGTAAATAATGAACCAAAGTTTACATTCTGTTTAATTAAAGCAGAGCTAAAGGTAGTTCTTCTATCTTGTGTTGCTCTTTGCTGATTTCAGTTTTAATTTTTAGTTTTGACAGGAAGATAACACTGAACGTGAAAAAAATCAGTTTTGTTTTTGTAAAAGTATTTTTATGGTAAACTGGTACAAGTCTATAGGAACAATTGCTGCTTTTCTGAAAAAGCCAATAAAAATGTTTTGTCAAAATTTTAACTCATTTTACTGTATTTTTTTAAATCATGAATATGCTTAGAGATAAATGACTCATAACACTCTTTAGTTTTATTCAGCTTGAGTGCCACTAAAAATAAAGTATCATTACTATTTTGTCAGGAACTTTTGTTGTCAAACCTTAGATTTGCCAAAAGATTAATAAATTTGAAACTAAAAGCATTTATAGAGCACACACCTTTGCCAGTCACGCAGTAATGTGTATCCGGTGATGTTAACACTCAAAAATCCGTGGTTTCTTTGGACTTGATCAGCTGTTTAGCGTTAGCCAAAACAAAACTTTAGGAGCAGAGCACAATAGATAAATGTATACTGCAGATAAAGTGACCGGAAAACAAAGAAACGGTGGTCTGGCTGCAGCCCGACTATAATCAGGAGGTGGGGGATTTTTTCGTGATTTGGGGGGAAAGAACCAAATCGATCGACAGAGGTAAGCTACGCTATGCTAACACTGCTGCAGTTCTTCATCCATCATTTTGAAAGTAACTTAATATTTATCGGGGACTCTAGTCCTTGAATTCAACCATTAACACAGAAAGATATAAATTTGTATGAACAAGACTTCAGTCTAGGTGTGTCTATGTTTTTGTTTGACATCTATGTTTCCTTTCTGCTAAAATGAAAGTTTTCTCCCTAAGATTATAGATTCTCTAGTGAAAATCTGCCATTTTCAATTTTACACAGAGTTGTTTGAACTGTTTGTGTTTACCTGTATATAAGGAAAAAATATATAATTTATTGGAACTAAACTGGAAAATAAATATGAAGGTCGGTTACATTATAAAATACGAGGTAAAGTTCTTTTAAAATGTATTTTAAACATTTTAAGTGTATTTATTTATTAGTTCATTTATATATTTCTGATTTTTATTTCTAATTATGTCATATTTGGTCCTCCATACATTAAGTATAAGATGAAGACTTTTCTTTAGACAGGCTTTTTAATACCTTGATGTAGCATATTGGCATTTTTTTCTCTTGTTTTTATGTTTTCTTGTGATGAGATTTTTACTGTAAAGCGTCTTGGTCACCTTGGTTGTTGTTAAGCTCCATATAAATCAATAAATAAAGAAGTGCGCTGACGTGTATACAGTACAAACTGTATTTATTGATGACCACATGGCTTTTTAAATAGTACAAGACACAAAGGACAACACAGCAGAATCAGAACAATTGTTGGTTTACTGTGAAATAAAATTAAATGGAAAAAGAAACAGCTTTTAATGTAGAGCTTTGTTTTTTAATGACAAAACATTTATTTCTGTATTGCTGGATATGATAAAGAAACAGTTATTACAAACATTTATTCATCATTTTGGTTGAATTCAGTTGAATCTGGCAACATTTGGTAAAGGAATATCAACCTCTATCTGCCTGTCTCCTACTTTAACATACGATTCAACGCTCTTGCTTTTTTCTTTGAGGCTCCTGATGACATTATTGTGGAAGGTGTTAATGCCTTTTACCATGGAGTCGATCCAAGACTGGATGTCTGCTCTGAGCTGTTCAGAAGATTCCTGAGATAATGGAATGTGGGAGAGTTTATCCATTACAGAGCTTAGAAATTCCAAAATAATTCTGTGGAACACCTTCAATTTTTCAGAAGCATCTGCCAGGACAGGTGAGTCCTTCAGATCGCTGTACCGCTCAGCCAGTAAGTTGTAAATGCCGTCTATGTTTTCATGTTTTAGTTTTTGGAGAAAGTTTTCACTCTGTTCAATGATAAACTGCGTAAATGTTTGGATTTTCCTGATTTTATCTTCCAGCTGGGTGTCTCCTAGTTTCCTCACGGTACCAATCACATACTCTTGGATTTTCTTTACATACTCCAATACGATATCTAGAATCTCTTTCCCGCTGAGAATACGGTCAGAGCCTGGAAAACTGAACTGAATTGTTTGGAATTGCTCAAAGACTGGTGCGAACATGGAGGTGAGATACTTTGGGATCTTTTCCAAAGCCTCCTCAGACACATCGGCAATAAAAGCGCTCAATTTCTGGTAGATCTCAAGTCCAGAGAGCCTTCGTTCATAACCAGGGATCTGGAACTTGGTCTGTTTCAGGAATCTAACAACAGCATCAAGAACAAGTTCAACCTTCTTTTGGTACTCTCTGAGAATCAGAATGGTCTTATCTATGACAGCGGGCATCGCATCAGAGGGACTAACTGCAGCTAGGTTCTCAACAGCATTCTTCAACATTTCTTTACCTTGCTTTGTAGCCTTTTCAAGTGAGCTCTTTAGGCTTCTAGCATGTCTGTTGAGTTTTTTGTATGTTCTGAGAGCTGGATCCGAAACCATTTCCACCACCTCGAGTACATGTTTTTTCAGTCCCAGCATCATCTCGTATGGCATCTCCGTATTCCAGGTGGTCTGGAGGTTCAGCTTTCTGGATTCAACCACAGACATCTTGAGACCAACGATGTCAACGTCGGTTGTTGGCTTAGTCTGATGGAAAAAAAAGAAGAAGAAGTCAGATTAGGAATAAACAGTAAATTAATATGAGCATTTTTTTAGATATCAAAAATGTATTTAATTTTTTTTTTACCGGGTAGCGTCCGTAGAGTCTGGCTTTCAATTGTGCTGGCCGCTTTGTCTGCATCTGAACAGCAATGAGTCCCGAAGATGGAGTAGACATGGAGACGACAAGGCCTTCCACTGGATTCCCTTTCATTTCCTGCTTGATTTCCATCGTCACTGAAGGCAGATTGATTTTTGCGGAGTTGGTGATGGATGTGTCTACATTCTCAGAGCTTAAGACGATGGCGCTTTTGTGTTTTCCTTCCAGCAGTGAATGTTTCACAGACAGGGAGGAGGCCAATTGAAATTCATCCACTGTGTTCACTTTGGTGCTGGCCTCGATCTTCCCATTCAGAATAGTAAATTCAGACAACGAGGAGGCATCAAGTTTGATGTTAAGGCCATCCTGGTTGAGGATGCTGGCGTCAGTTTTGAACGTGATCGCTGCTGTATTCATGGAGAACTCATAGGTCAGGTCTCCCATCATTGGGATCTTGATGGTCTGAATTTTGGGCAGGCTGACTTTTGGGACAGTCAGCTTGTTGAGGACAGATGGGACATGTAGGGCGGGCATTGTCATGAGAGAGGCATCGAGCAGGGGAATTGTGAAGGAAGATGTCTCAACATTCATCACTGGAACTCTGTAGGCAGGTATCTCAATGGCTTTTGGCAACTCAACACTGTATTTTTCATACTCTGCCTTTGCTTTGTCGTAAGACGAAGCGAGGATGACTGTGGCCTTATCCTTGCAAGTGAGCGCTCTCCTGTGCAGTGCCTTCATGCTGGTGTTAATGGTATTAATGACTGGTTCCAGATTAATATCAATAGTGATCATCTCAGGATTCTTAACATACTTCAAGTTAGATTTCATGTCCAACGTCTGCTGAGTTGTAATCAGGAAGTAGCTCAGGCCAGCGTCTTCCCAGAGAGAATAGTCCTCCACTCTAGGGGTCTTCATGCCAACAAATGGTAAGGTGATTTCAGGAATGGTGATAGGTTTCTTCAGTAAGTCCAGATCCGCCTCCCCATTTATTTGGGAAATTATGTTAATTTCTCTCTCACCATTGTCCATGGAAAAGGAATGGGAGTATTTGTACTGGTTGAATCTGGCCAGACCCGCCCAGCTTGCCTGGTGCACTTCAGAGTTCAGAGTGAACGCAACGTCATTCTGGAGGTCAACTTCTCCGGACAGCCCGAATGGAAGGACGACCCTGGCATTGCCTTTGTTCTTCACATCAAACACGAGCTCTGTAGGTTTGATCAAAGCGACGGCAGAGCTTGTAATACCTCCTTCTACTTGACCGACCAATTCTGCGTTGTGGGAGGTGGTGAGATCGATTCTCATGTCTTCAACCTTAGCTTGGAGCTTGACCTCTGCAACGCTGCCCTTAATGGAAGGCGTTTCAGTCTCAGCCTTGGCATTGATGATGACATGGCGGAAAATGCAAATATCAGCATCAAGATTTTGGTTCATCTTCAAGTGGTTGCTGCTCGTCACTCCAGTGAAGGTCACTTTGGCTTTGTGGAGATTCATTTCCACGTCGATGTCACTCTTGTGGGTTCCCTCATCTGAGAATTTCTGAAATGCATGTTTCCCATTACCCTGATTATTTAAAGTGAGATGCATGGTGCCATCTGCGAGCCTAAATACAGTATTTTGCTCTGTCATCATTTCACTGAACATGTTGAGGGGGGGCATCTTGAGGTCATGTTTGTAGGTAGTCTTCATTGTGGCGGAGATTTCATTTTCCGTGTTGAGGATTGCATTGTTAAGAAGCTCTGCAACATAGGGCTCAGTTGTGATTTTTGCAGCTGTTTCAGCAGAAGCTAGGGCTGATAGTCCATGCAAATCCATTGCTCCTTTGTGTTCAAGTGTAAAGGATGGCTGATGTACTTTAATGATCTCAGAAAAGGTCAAACGGCTCATCTCGGGTGCAGAAAATTGTGCAGAGGCATCCACAATGAAGTCAAGGACATTCAGAGTAGAATCAGCCCATGAGTTAAAATTTATTTTGAACTCTGGTGTGATGGATGAGGTTGTGGTGTTCTCCAGGTCAGCGGTGGTTCTTAGTTTGTAATGAGGTGAGGTAACTCTGAACTCACCGTAGAGTTTTCCAAAACAAGGAATCTTGCTCATGTCTTCAACTTTCTCTTTCAGCTCCTTTGTGAGTGTTTCATAATCATAGGACTGAATTTTCTGGATCATTCTCATGAAATAGTCACTCATGTCATCAATCAGCTGTTTGAAGTCAAAGGCGTACAGTTCATTCATGAGCTCCTTAATGGGCACCAGGGCTGTATTCAGCAAAGGCTGGATGTCAATTGATGTCAGAGCTTCATATATAATCTGGAGCTTCTCTCTGATCTGATATGCCCGCATAATTTCAACCACGTCATCCATAAAGGCCCCAATTATTTGTTCAACCTCATAGTTGGAGAGAAACTCTTCAATTTTGATATAAACTGCTGCAAGTTTTTCATTGATATTATAGTTATTGATTGTAGCCTTGATAGCGTCTTTGATAGATTTGAGCTGATTAATAATTTTGTCCTTAGGGAACTTGGCCATCAGTTCGGTGATGTACTTTTCCAGAAAGGTGATAAACTCTTTTAGGTCTTGGACAAAGAGGTCAAATTCAAAATGGTCAATGGCGTCTTTCAGTTCTGCCATTTTGTCCTGAAACTTGGCACTGATCTCATACCTGGTGCTGACGTCTTTCAGCATCTTGATGCTGTAGTCCATCAGCTCCATCATTGTGGTCTTCATGTTGTCAATTACTGCTGGCAGGTGCTCGATGAATGGGATCAGGATGGAGTGGCTTTCACGGTTCTTGTCATATTTCACAAATCCAGAGATGGCGTAATCTTGGCTGTCCTCACTGAAGAGTGGGGTTGAGACTGCTCCTTTCATTTCAATACCCATGTTTGTTGGATTGTTGTATGCGCTCAGTTCTTGATTAAAAACATGCTCATTTACTGTGGATGTCACCTTCAGTGAAACACTTTGCTCTTGCAGGCTTAACATGTTGTTCATCTTGTTATCCATGCTGGTCTTGATTGCAGGTCTGTCTGCCATTTCGTGGCTGGTTGAGGCTCTGTACTCAAAGGACTGAGTGAACAGTGTGGGTTCTGCTTTCAGGAGGAACTTGCTATACACTGCGCCGTTGTGCTGCCCGTACACATGCACCTCACTGTTTGAATTGAAAATGGCATCGATGTTGAGGGTGAAGGGTGCGGCAGCAGATTTGATCGTACTGTCCAGACGAAGGAAGGGTGAGTTAAAGTTGGCCACATTATTGAACTTCACCGTCAAACCATCAACTTCCACATCAGTGTCATGTGTCAAATGAGATCCCAGGAGTTTTCCATTGGTGTTGCACTTTGCAGACAGGATCATGTCGGCAAACTTGATTTCATATCTGTGCTTGAGCTCCTCTTCTGAGAAGGATCCCATCAGTGTTCCAGCCAGTTCCATGTTGTAAGGTTCTGCCTTAAACTTGGCATCATTCACAAAGTTAACCGCCATCACCTTCAGGTCATTTTTCACTGTGGCCGAGACAGTAAAACGCTTCATGTCGAGAGTGATGTCCTGCATGTAGGAGTTGCTGCTGTCAAGGAAGTTGTCAGTTTTGGACTGGAGGGTTAAAGATCTCAAATTAAGAGATAGTGAGTGGGTGTTATCGGTCTTCATCTCCCTGAAAGATCCAACCATGTTGTTGGAGAAGACCAAGCCATCCTCATTCAGTCTGAGGTTCACTCTGTTCCTGCTGCTAACGTCAAACAGGTTACCTGCAAACATGCTGTTGAGATACACTTCTGTGGTTGCAAGCTTTCCCTCCACGTTGAGCTCGGCTTTGTTAGCTTGAATGCTTCCTTTGGTTGTGAGAGACAAGGTGGCTTTAGAGGCGTCAACTCCACCGTGGAAAATGTTCTCAAATGTAAAGGGGCTGTGGCGGGCAGTTGTTGTGCAGCTGGTGGTCAAGCCATTTGTGGTCAGTGACAAGGTTGCTTTGTGGGAAGCAATGCTTGAGAAGATGTTTATGGAGGCGTCAGCGTTGATCTCTAAGCCAGAGGGATTCATGGCTCCAGTCAGCAGGGAGTATGCACGGTTCTGCGTGTTCTTATCCTCAGCTTGGGTCTCTACTCTGAGGACAGCCTGTCCTACAGAAGAAGAGAACTCCGTCCTGCTATGGATCATCTTCTCATAAGCATTGGTCACAGAATCAGACTGGAAGCCGAGTATGAACTCCTTGTAGCTAAGGTTAATTTTGGTGGTGTGCGTGATGGGGTCATGGTTCACGTCGGTGGTTGATTTAAACAAAAATTCATCTTTTTCATAAGATGCTTTGATCTTGTTGGAAAACTTCAGCTTTTTAGAGTTCACATTCAGGGTGCTGTCCATTTTTGCTTCTTTTTTGACTGGCTCAACGGAGAAGGTGTGGTGGTAGGTGGTGGTGGCAGCCAGGGGTCCAAAGGCGATACTTCCGTCTGTGTTAACGTCTCCGAAGAGCATGTTTGAGTCAAGGGTGTACTGGGTGGTAACGGTCAAATTAGTGTTCAGACCCACGGGATCAGCAGCAGCATATAACTTGTAATGACCCGTTGTTAGCACATTGTCTGTGACAGCAACACTTTCCACAACACTAAAACCAGTGTTGACGAGCATGTGTTTCAGGGCTCCATCGACGGTGACTTCAATCGTTTCCTTATCTGTGTCTGTGATTTTGGAGGCTCCTGTGAAACAGAAAATTGAGTAAGAATGAGTACACGTTCGATTTTTATGTTGTTTCGTCAATATTTGCTCACAAAGGAACAATTATTACAGAACAAAATTAAGATTACCCTCAGCTGAGAAGGAGAGCAGTCTTATTGGACTTTCAGCCATGATGCTGAACTTGGCCACATATTCAGGTGACTCAGCAGTGTTGTTACCAGCAGTGAGCACCGCCTCCCAGTCGTAGTAGTTGCTGTTGACCTTGGCAGATGCCTCCATCAGTCCCACCAGAGGCAGGGTGAGATCGTATTCAGAGGGGATGGTAAAACGTGGGATCGGGATCTTCTGTGGGGCAAAATCTAGTTCCAGCTCAGGCACAAAAATGCGTGGGGAGGTGACAACAGATGGTATCCTCAGCTCCTCGGATGTTTTCCCACCAAGTGGCAGAGGGATGGTCATTGTGAAATGGTTCTGGTTGAACTGGTATCTGAGGTTGCTTTCACTGGTTTAATCATAAAAAAATAAGTCAAACTTAAAACATGTTTAAATCGATTTTATGATGTTCTAAATCCAAATCAAGAGGCAATTTCAAACATGCTAATTTGAGGTGAACTTACAGGTTCATAAATAAATTTTCAGGCACTGATGGGATTTGCATCAATGCAACGCTGTCCCTCAGTTTCTTGATGCAGGGAACATCAGCAGAGATCTTATCCATCCAGATGTCGGTGGCCTAAAAGAAACAAAACAAAAATATTTCTCATGTTTCAGCCCATGAAAGTTAGTGTCTGCAAAAAAAGTTGCAAACATTGTGCTGTTTTTACCTCAAGTCCTTTGTTGAGAATGTGCCGCAGCTTCATGTCTGTATTGTCAACCTGCCGGTCCATGACATCGTTTGCAAGCTGCCCGAACAGAGTCTGAGCAGCTTTGGTATAATGCACTGGGATCTTTGTGTCAGCATTCATGTTGGACATCAAAGACACCTCAACCTGCTCTTTACCTGCGGTACATGAGATTTTGCATTTTAGTTTTCCATAAATGTTGGAAAATCAGTTTCATTTTGAATACCAAAGTTAATTTTAAAGTAATGTACCATATGTGATGGTGACTGCCTGAACGGAGGAGACCTCTGGGAGTTTCACATCACTCTTGATCTGCATGGTGAGTCCATCAGTATTGCTCATTGTAGCAGTGAGGGAGGCATCGGTCCTGAGGGATGGCACCAGCAGTTGAACCTGCAGCATCCCATCATTCATGGCCTGAAATCTGCAGTACATGTAAAATAAAGTCTTTTAGTGCAAGCATTTTTAAGTGTGTTAATAATGGAACTACCAATAAAAAAAAAGCTTGATATCATTTTAAAAAGTTGACTCACTTGGCACGACCAATCAGAGACAGCTGTTGCACGTTCTTGTTGGAGAGCTCGAGGAAGATGGATTTGCCCTTTGAGCTGCTGTCTGTCGCACCCATCTTAACACCTGCCTCAATGTCAATGTCAGGGATCTGGATCTGAGTGGTGAAAATATTCCTGTTCCTGTTGTACTTCATGATGGCTGTAGCCTCAGTGGGCTGTTTACCTGGAGTCACAAGAAACAACAAAAAATATTGCTTTATTTTTTCATTACAGTGTGTACATAATTCTGTAATTGTGCTGATTCAGTGACCCCCCCCCCCCCCACCTAATCCTTCTATTTTGTGCTGTTTTCAGCTCATTCAGGAGGAGGCTGCTATACATTTAGTTTTTTGCAACTTTTACATTTTAAAAATATTTATACTTACAAAATTCAGAGAACAGAGACCTATTCAATGCCTTTGATACACTTTCTCTTTTAAATCAGCTTTAACACATTTGTGCTGTTTTTGTTTTCCTGTGCAATTTGACCTTTTAGCTTGCCCTTTGCTACTTTTAGCTTTTAGCTACAGTGCCGCAATTTTTTACTTATAGATAGTCCTTTTCACATTTAACTTCTAGCTAACCTTTTGATGCTTTCACCTAGCATTTAGCTACTTTTAGCTTTTAGCTACAGAGCTGCTATTTTTAACTTATAGTCCTTTTCACATTTAACTTCTAGCTAACCTTTTGATGCTTTCACCTAGCAATTTGCTACTTTTAGCTTTTAGCTACAGAGCTGCTATTTTAAACTTATAGGTAGTCTTTTTCACATTTAACTTCTAGCTAACCTTTTGATGCTTTCACCTAGAATTTTGCTACTTTTAGCTTTTAGCTACAGAGCTGCAGTTTTTAACTTGTAGTCTTTTTCACATTTAACTTCTAGCTAACCTTTTGATGCTTTTCACCTAGAATTTTGCTACTTTTAGCTTTTAGCTACAGAGCTGCTATTTTTTAATTTATAGATAGTCCTTTTCACATTTAACTTCTAGCTAACCATTTGATGCTTTCTTCAAGCATTTTGCTACTTTAGCTTTTTGCTAACATTGTGTTACTCTTGGCTTGCATTTTGCTACTTTTAGCTATAGAGTTGCTATTTTGAACTTTTAGATAGCTTTTTCCTGTTTCAACTTCCAGCTGGCCTTTTGATATTATTAACTAACATTTTTGTTGCTTACATAGCATTTTACATCTTTTAGCTTTAATAACTTAATTTCAGCTTCTTCTAATGTCTGCACTCAGCATTCGTGCAGCAGTTTTATAGATAAGGTGTGTAATTTCAGTTCTGATGCTCGTACCTTCAGCCCTGAGGATCATCTTCAAGGAGTCAACTTTATGGCGACCATCCTTTCCTTCGCTGAGGAGGTCGTAGACAACCGTGGCCGTGTACTCAGTGATCTCTTTAGTCGGCTCGATGTCGAAAGCAAGCCTAAAGAGAGATGAGTTTTCACTTTATTCTATAAGAAAAGCTAAATATGAACTCTTCAGACTGTAACTTACATGGTCTCTCCATTCAGGGGGAAGTAAGGAGCTGTGGTCTTGTCACGAGCATCATTGTAAAGCATCGTGGAGCAGAACTTGATTCCAGAGAAAAGACGGTTGCACTTTGATTTGCTCTGTTTGTGTGGGATCATTGTTGCCTGACCAGAACCTACAATCTCCACTTTATTGCTAGAAAAATAGGAAAAAGCAGCAACATGAGTTTTACAACACAATCCATCCATTGGTTTATAAAATATTTTTGCTAACAAACAGATTTATTACAAAAATAATATTTTTGTGATTTTGGTCACCTGATTCTGAAGAGTTTGGTGGTGCCCTGTGGAGCAGGGATGGAAAGCTTGACCTGGTTTTGCTCCATGGTGATCTTGGCACTGAGAGAACTCTCGTGGAACAGGTTGGTCCGCATTTCAACAGCAGAGACAACAAACTCGGGCATTTGGACCCCCATCTGAGTCATGAACTCAACTCCAACAGAGGGACTGAAGGCCAACTCCTTCTGCGGGTTAAACCAGACCAGAAACATAAAATAGGTTTTAAATTAAAAGCTACAGTCCAAAGTTAAAATAGCAATTTTTTGTGGGGGAAAACAAAACTGTTACCATGTTCGGAGAAATGCGAAGACCTCCTTTTGCACCAGGAGCAAAAGTGCCAGAAAGAGCAAATGTCATTGGCAGGCCAGATGCTGTGGGTAAGGTGAATTTGTTGTCCATAAAGATGTAGTGTGCAAAAATCTCGTTGTTTAAGCCTGGCATCGAGATGCCTGTGAACTGATGGGAACAACAAGCACGTTAAAATAAAGATGATGATATATTTAAAACAAAAAACGGTCAAAACACATATAGGGATACTGTAAGTGTAGGATATCAATACCTTGGCGTGATGCATGAAAACCTTTGCGTTCAAAATTGCGTTTTCAGCAATAAACTTCAGATCGCTGCCCTTGATGAAACCGAGCTCAGTTCCCATGATCCTCAGGTAGGCCATGGCTTCTGGGGACTCTTGACTCTGCAGATCTTTCACCAGCTTGTTGAAGTTAAGAAGGATTTCTCCCATAAGGTTTTCAGGAATCTTAAGGGGGAAAAAATGTTATTTTATTTTGTCAAGTTGTGCTTTAAACAACCAGAGTGATGAAATGACTCGTGCTCAAGATGAATACCTTCGGCTGTCCTGATTTCAGAGGAGCAAGCCATTTTTCCAGAACTTCTCTGATCTTTGGCGGCATCTTGTCCTCAGCCCAGTACAGAGCTTTAGACACAGAGTCAGGAAAGAAACCATTCTGTCCAAACAAAGCCTCGATGGTTGGCTCGAATCCTTTCCCCTCCACGCCGACCTGAAATCATCCGAAACCAGACTGGTCTCAGTTTGATAATCTGAACTGAGCTTTAACTGGATATTACTAACAAAAAAAGGAGCCTATAACACAGCAAATCATTAAAGCTTAAAGACATACATACCTCCCAAATATCCATGCTGTAACCAAACGCTTCCAGGGTCGTTTCAAGCAGGATTTCTTTTGGCAGCTGGTTGCTGGGATCAAAAATGATGTTGCCCTGAATGCTGGCCTGCATGCTCTCGTGTGTCACACCCAGCTTGTAGTTGCGAGACTTGGTGGTGTAGTCGTTGTGTGCGACTACATCAGTGTCTTGCAGGACGTCCATTATCCTCTTACCGAGCCTGAAACAAAAGCAAATGCAAATTATGTCCTGTGTACGGCTACTGGTTCAGATAAAACTTCATTAAACTTGAAAAGGCATCTCAGTTCTCACTTTTTAGTCTCTGAGTCCGTTGAGGAGATGATGTTGTAGACGTGAGAGGAGACAAAAGCTTTGACCTGCATGTTCTCCTCCTGGCTGAGAAGCTTCTTCACCATCTGAAAGTCACTTTCCTGAGGATCCCTCATCAGAATGAGGTACGCCGCCAGGCGCTTCTGCACGGCACCCTTGGCGTACTGGGTGACCTTTTGGAGGTTGACGCGAACCTGGACGGAACAACAGTCCCTTTAACATACAGTCTGTCACCATCATTTGTCAATCTTAAACGGTGTAACAACAACTTAAAAGGTATTGTCACTGTGAACTGGAATGGTAGATACCTCTTCTGTGACGGACATGCGTCTGAAGGCTTGAATGGCTGCCAGCTGCACGGACAAAGTGGTGGAAGGTTGTCTCATGCACTTCAGCAGGGTGCTCTTAATAGCAGGGTCAGCAGCCTCCATCGCTTCTCCCATGTTACCAACAACCTAGATAAAACATCACAGATAATTAGCTTTTTAGCTGTTTTATTTGCTTTCAAGGTTTGTTCAGAGCTGGTAACCTACCCTCAGGGTCAGGAAGGTCAGGTCTTTCTCCCCTGCACAGTCTTCACCCAGAAGGGATGTTATGTACTCAAAGACAGCGGTGATCTCTGGGGTGACACCCTCAGACTTGTACAGTCTAGAGAAAAACAACACGTAAGTGAATACTTGCTAATGTAAAGTAGAAATTACTACTCAGCACTTTGGCGTTTAATTTATACCTGGTGACTGCATTGCTCAAGGCATACATGATGGGTTTGCTCTGCTTGTACTGAGCCATCGCCAGCAAGTCTTTCACCATCAGGCGGGAGGGGTTGGACAGCATTCCCAGGGCGTAGACGGCAGCATCCACCTCAGACGCGCCATGGTCGAATCCTCGGAGAACCTTCAGCATGCCGCTGGTGCACTCTGGGGTGCCACACTGAGCCAGCGCTTGCCAGGTCAGAGGGCCGGAGATGCCCATCATCTCATCAGCGGCGGAGCTCAGGACGTCGGCCCTCAGGCCGTGGAGCTCGGAAACCAGCTTGCGGAAGAGTCCGGCACGCTCCTCGCCCTCGGTGGTCTGCGACAGCACGCTCAGCTTCTGCATCGTGGTTAGAACGGCGTCCTTGTTCTGCACCGGCAGCTTGTCGTCAACGGCCTCCATGGGCAGCTGCTTCAGGTTTTCATCTGTACGCAAGTTAGTTCAATCAGCAAGAAAAAGTCCCAAAAACACTGTGAAGGTGCCTCCATCTGGCACTGATAAGAGAACTGTAGGAATGTTTTATTTATTTATTTATTTATTTATTTATTTATTTATTTATTTATTTATTTATTTATTTATTTATTTATTTATTTATTTATTTATTTATTTGATTGTTTATTGTGGTCATGATCTAAACACTAGTGCACTTACTGTGGTGGAATACTCGGTCATTGATCCTAGAAGTCTCTGTCAGGGTCACAGTTTGCCTCACGACTGCAGAAATTCCAAATTCATTCCTTTTTCAAGGGAAAAAAAACACAATTTAGGAGATTTAAAGGTAAAATAATGAGCTTTGATGATCTAAAACTGGATCACAATGGTTGTTTAATTCTTTTAACGCCTACTTATGAGAGAAGGGAAGGAAGATGTGTTTCTCTGTGCAGGAGCCACTGGTCATGTACTTCTCCCGGCTGTCAAACTTGTAGTTGCAGATCTGAGAGCTGCTGATCATCTTGGACAGCGGGTAGTTCTGATGGAAGGAAGACCACACGTGCAGGTTTGGGTCAGGAAATGCTCAGTTTTGTACACGTGAAGGTGCTGTGTGAGGTCTCACCATGCCAGAGACGAGGGCCAGAGGACTGGTGTCCTGTCTGCGAGCCACGAACCGGTCACACGCCGTCAGATCCCTGCTGACCGTCACGTCGACGGCGTCATCGTCTCTGGAGTTGACAGAAAGCTTGGAGGAGCACACGCCGTGCACGGTGGGCTGAAAACAAGAGGCTCGGTCAGAACCCGAGGGTGTTCGTCACGTCTCACAAACAAAAGCCTATCTGATTCGAGAATGTGCCTTCTGTCCTTTCTAGATCAGATAATCAATGAACCCGAACGATTCCGTCTTCCTCTGCCCCCATCACGGGAGCAGGTGATGCTGAAGGCGCAGATAACTTATCTCGGACTTTGACCGGTACATGATGAGTGTCACTGTAAGAACATAAGAGTCCATTTATGACCTCTCGGGCAGCTTATCTGCTGGTTGTGTAACTTGTTTATCTTTGCGTGACTCTACATCACAAACAGAATTAAGCTGCTGTAGCTCTGAGCTAACTGGCAGCATTGAGCTGGAAAACCATCGTTAAGAAAGACGAGGAGCTACCATCTCTGCGCTCTTCTCCTCGTCCAGGTCAGGCACCAGGAGGGCGGAGATGATCCCCCTCTTCACGTTCAGGATGTTGGTGGACTCGTCATCCTCAGGGTACAGTTTGACATCATTTTGTCCTTCCACTGAAATCTTCAAAGGGTTCCTGGAAGCAGAGGTTTAGGATTTAAGCTCCTTTTGATCTCTCTGAATGAGCCCAGTTATGATAACTTCAAAATAAAATCCTCCTGGACAGCCAGCAGGATGACTTACTTGGCCATTGCAGCTTTGAAATCCTCAGCACCAGCTGCAGGACGGTACACCAGCTTCCCATCATCGTCCACGCCGGAGATCTCCTTCAGAGAGCAGTCTGTGGTGCGGAGGATGAAGCTACACGTCTGGGGCACGTCGACCTCAACCTGTGCAGCACAATCAACAGTTTAATTATTTTATTTTATTTTATTTTAGAGCCACAGCTGGTGTTCTTCTTGTTGTGGGACTCACGGTGCAGTGGACTTTAGGGCCGCTGTTGTTATCCGTGGCTCCATTCACGCCGTTCAACGTCTCGGCTTCGTAGTTGTACACAAAGCGTTTGAAGTTTTTGTATCTTCTGGCCACTAAAAAAAATAATGTCCCCAAGTGTCACTTAAAAATTCTTTTTCACCAGAATAATAAAAAAGAAACATCCAAAATAATCATTTAGGTTTCTATTTTATCAGTTAGTGGAGCGTGTTTTCAACCAGACAAACATTTATGAAACTATTTCAAATATTACACCACCAATACTACTACTACTACTAATAATAATAATAATAATAAATACATGAACAACCAAACCTTCAGGCTGAGTGATAGTTAATATCTTGATGACATAAAAATGGTTTTATGTTATAGTAAATATTTGGAATTTTACATTTTTATATGTTTAAAATATTTTCAAAAGTATTTTTTCCATACATTTAGTTAAAATAAATCAGTAAATTATATTTACTCTACACATGTCTATATTTTAGATAAAAATGTTTGTTATTAATAACCAATGATAATAATAATGATCTGCTGTCAAACTTACTTTTTGAAAAAGTGTAATAAACAATTTTATTTAAAAAAGACATTTAAAATGTTTAACGTGAACAAAATGCGAGTCAGATTGTTTTTAGATTTAAATTTAAATAGAAATTAAAAACATTGACAGGCAAAGTATCCTTGTACAAGCAGTTGTATCTTTAGCTTTCTGCCTGGTTTGAAAATTTTTCTAATTAAAAACAAAACATTTTAAAAAGTGTTAACGAAATGGTATCATCTGTATTTTCACCTTGTTTGTCATGCTTTAATTCAGTTACATTATTTATGTTACATAAAATATCCACAGTCATGCTCATAAATAATAACAACACTTAAGTTTATAAGAAGGAAACTCACAAAAGCAAAGAGGAGATGGCTCATCTAGACTTCCTACATCTTGTTCTGTGAAGAAGGACAAAAAAATTTCATTTAGAGAAACAGAAAATCATGTTCAAAATGAGCCAAGCTTGAATAATTGTATTTTATAAAAAAGAAAATGAATTTGTCAACTTAGCTCTAAGCATAAAAAAACACTCATCCATAATATGTTTTCTGCCATTTATCCACTTTAACACATAAAGTCTCATCCTCACAGCTGAGTAGTTTTGCTGTAAAAGCAGCGTACTTACGGGCGAGCGTGTACGAGCCCAGGAGCAGCAAACAGCAGAGCTTTGCTCCCCACATGATGGGGATGGAGAGTCTCCCTCTTTCTCTGAAGACTAATCCTCCTGCTTGTGTCTCAGGGCTTTTATAGACCTTCAGTCTTACTGTATATGATGGCTGGGACCTGCGGATATCTTGTCCTGGTTCCAAAGTCTGAGCCGTCCTTGTGGCAGGCCAAAGGTAAAAAGACTTGTCTGTCAGCACTGGGTGGGGGTTTTCGGCGTGCCTGGCTGTTAAATGACTCCCCATTTATAATTTTCTCTTTTATCTTGAGGTTACTAATAACCCACAAGTGAGTTTAAAAATATATAGTTTAAAAAACACATTTTATGTGTTTATTCGGTGTTATTTAAAGCAGAAAAAAAACTGTAATCAGATCAGTGTCATGTTGTGATTAATACCTCATCTAGCTTTTATGGCTTGTTTTGCCCAAAGTGCACCAAGCAAATATTTGTCACAGATTTTTTTATGGCAATTTTGTTTTTCACTCTTGACAGACGTTATAATAAGGGCATGCATATTTGCCAGTGCCTTTCAGGCTAGAATTTAAAGTTAAATGATGTCAGTTGTAGTCATTTTGGTCAAACGTTGAAAATAATTTTATTATTACGGCATGTCACACTCACTTAGAGCATGACTCAAACCAATTTCTAGTTCAATATCTGTAAAAGTGATTTAATTAGCCATTTTTGTGTTTGCTAAGATCAATTGGTTGTGGTGGAAATTTTGAATTGGATTGGCTCCAAAAGTTAATCAGTTGTAGATGTGCATCCATTTATTAGATCCTGAAAGTATAATTTAAATTTATTTATTGGTTCATAAGATATTTTGCTAACAAACAGAGCTAACTCCAGTAGTTGATGCCAAAGTTTTAAAAGCAGATCTTGTGGCATCGGTTAGCACTCAGAACATAAAATGGGGATCAGTCTCAGCTTCTACCACACTAGACTTTAGCACAGTATCTGCAAAATTCACTAAGATAGAAAAAAAGAAAAAAATTGTATAGGTCTTCTGGACGGGTTCTTCTCTAATGAAATGTTTAGTCTCTCCTCCAAGAGACTTCTTCAGTCTGAGAGTTTCAGGCAAAATTCAGGCTTTTAAGCACTGCCTCCATGTGATGTGATACTCACATCACATGGAGGCAGTGATGTGATACTCACATCACATGGCTATTGTTGACACCTAA